CAAAATCTCCATTGCTCAAAATTGCCTAAGAATTGATCAACTCAAGACACTTCCTCAACACTGATGGATCAAATTAAAGTTTGGGTTTTGACAAGTATAAATGGACTTTTAATGCTTCATATGATTTTTATGATCATTTTGGACCTCTAAGAATGCTCATGTCAAATTTCAAGTCTTACAGTTCAAGTTTGCTCAGTCAATTGATCAGTTGACCTAAAATTGGCTGTATTGAGCAAAAAGTCAAATGTGGTCAATTCACAGTTAAACTTCATAATTTTTTATTCATATCAACATGTTGAACTCATATTAGTCAATTGGTCAAATTTGGATCATAATTCCTCAAGAAATTTGATTAAATCACAAAAAGGGCAAAATGGTCAAAGTCAGATTTTTGACTGAGAAGGTTTGATTTTTAGACTTTCAACCCAAATACATGACTTAATGGTTTGAGACATGATATCAATAATCCAAATGCATCATTTTAACCTAATGGCATGGTTTAAAACATTTCTCAAAATCAATTGATTGATAGTTGAAATTTGGTCAATTGATGAAAAGTCAATTGTACACTGAAAAGTCAAACTTTGACTTTTAGATCAAAATCAAATTTCAAAAATCATATTTCATCAAGACATGTCAAAGTATGAAGTTTGTTCATCAAGAAAATCAAAATTCAAGATTACTTTGAAAAAAGTCAAAGTTCTAAACACTTAGAAATTTTTCTAAATGTTAAGAAAATATGATAATTTCACAATCACGATGCAAGATGATTCAAGAAAAATTTCAAACATGAAAGTTTTAGATCTCAACGAGACCATAAACATTTCAGGGAAGAACTTCTTTTATAAAGGTTTGGATCTCAAGTTATAAATCTGTGAAAACATGTCCATGAAACTAAAACACTTAGAAAATTCTGGGCGTTTTAAGTCAGAATTTTGACAGAACTTCTGGGTCAATTTTTATGCAGTTACAATGAGAGTTTACAAAAGTGATTCAAAGAGGGATTACAGAGCATGTTACAAGTTTTCTAAAAAGTCCAAGAACTCTTTCAGATCATGCTGGAGCAGGGAGAATCGAAGATAAGAAGTTGGACATTCATTCTAAAATTATGAGTCAGTTTCATGATGAACATCTGATCCAATTCCAAGCAATGCTGTATAATCCAACTTTTCAGGCCCTCTAACGTGTGTATCCATCCTTAATCATAAGATTACACAAACTTCCGAGCTATGAACCATTTTATTTAAGCTCTGTCCAATACACCTTACCATTTAAGAAAGAAAGTTCACACTTCCATTCTGGAAAAGTAACTTTAATCATAAAGTCCACTCTCTTTGAGCTTTGTGTTTATTCTTTCTGCACAAGCATCCCCTACAAACTCAAAACACGCGTGTTTAAATTTTCTAGCCACCCTATCTTGCCTTGAAACCATGCTTGTCTAAGCTTGCTTCAACGACAAGTCAAAATCCACGACATGTGATTTTGTACTTCTGTCTTCACCAAGCTTTCAAACCTTTTGCCTATAAATTAAACCTTCATTTGCAAACTGAGAGAGGATGGGGCGAGCCCTAAAACTTGCTGAAACTCTCTAGAACTAGAAACTGCAACACAAGCACAAAAAAATTGTCATTTCTGATTTTTGAATCCAATCTCCAAAAACCCCCTGTACGTTTCTTGGCCAAACCATCCACAAAGTTTCTGATACACATATAGAAGCTATCCCAACCTCTGTTTTCATACTGTAACATCATCTTCACCAACCTCCATTTTCAAAAACAGAGCATTACATATTGACTCCTCCAGAACATTCCAGTCATCCATAGCTCAAGCAAACCATTGCATTAGCTTCCTGGGAACTTGAGGAAGCTAACCAGATCATCACAACAACTTGAATCAAACTCTAGTTCAAAACACGATCTTCAGCTGGAAGGTAAGTTCTTCTGATTTTTATCTCATTATTTAGGCATTATTAGACTTTCATTTTCAAAGACAAAATGTAGATATCATTGCTCTGAAACAGTATATATCTATAGATTTTATTTATATGGCCTGAGTAGAGATAATATAGGATCAAAATTTCTTGAAAAATTAGGGTTCAGATTAGGACTGGAAAAATTTATGTTTGCTTCTGATTTATAGTTCTAATGCTTTATAATTCTGGAACCATGATGAAATTTTCCATAATTTTTATGTTTATATTTTCCATTTTGTTTGGTAAATGAATAAGTTGCAGATGCTCTGGCTGGCGCGAGGAAGAAGATGAAGTTCTTCATCAAAACTGAATTTGTAATATGTATTTCTAGTTTTGTTTATAATATCAGATGTATAACCACCCCAGTGGTAGAGAGCGCGCGCATAAGGCATTGATGTTAAGGGTCCTGGGTTCTAGCCCCAGGAGTACCTTTTGTTGTTTCCATTTCTTAACATTTTACCTCATGTACTTGTTAACAACATGCCTGGACCATAACTTCTAAGCTGTCCCATTTTCACTTACCTGTTAACAACACACCTAGGCCAGAACTTCTAGGTTATCTCATTTCCATTTACCCGTTAACAGCACACCTAGGCCAGGACTTCTAGGTTATCTCATTTCCACTTATCTGTTAATAACACACCTAAGCCAGAACTTCCAGGTTATCTCATTTCCATTTACCCGTTAACAACACGCCTGAGCCAGAACTTGTAGGCTTTCTTATTTTCTGCTTCCAACATCATTCCTCCATATACTTGTTAGCAGCACACATAGGCCAAAACTTCCAGACTGTCTCTTTTGTACTTACCAATATCCTTTCCACTTTCTAACCCCCCTGATTTTATTTTTATTTTTATTTTCTTTCCTTATTATTATTATTATTTTTATTAATCAAAAACACCAAAAAAATATTATATTAGTTTTTCTTAAATTAGTTAGTTTATTTTTATTTAACTTTTTAAAATAAAAAAACCAAAAACATTTTCCTATTTAATTTCCTTTCTTTAACTTAATATTAAACTTAGATTTAGTTCATTTTCTTGGTTTAAATTTAAAATTAACTTAGTTTAATTTTTCTTACTTCTAACTATTTATCTTCTTTTAGAAAATTAGGTTAAAATATTTTCTTAAGCAAAATCAAAACAAATTCATTTTCTTTTCATTCATGTCTTGTACATTATATACATTTCAATTCTTGTACATTATTCAAGTTCGATATGGTTGTAATAGATAATTAGGTTTAATTTCTTGCAATCCCCATTTATAAATTTATACACCCCATCCCCAAGTGATGTAATAGCGTAGGATATTTACTTTCCATAATTTATCGTTTTCATATAAATGCTAGAAATTAGAATTTGTATGGAAAGATAAACATTAATAATTAGAAACACCTAATACAAGATAAATTCAAGCATGAAATACAAAACACTTGCACACTTTGCATCTCTAGGGTTAACTCCACTTGTTGCCTTGAGAAAATGGTCATGATACGCATGTGGGACATCTTACAAAAACAAATCAAAACACAAGATCATAGCCCTCGATGACGCTACGAATGTTGCCTTCAAAATGATCTTAGTCCCTTAAGAAAAATGCTAAGGTATCCCACAACATTGCTATCCATGACTATACGATGACTCATGCTTGTCCTTATACATCCAAAGATAAGGCTACTTACCAATCAATGGTGAGATAGCAAGGTCAAAGGAAGAGAGAAATGAACAAAAGACTTTTGAGTAAGTAGAACGTTCTTAGTTGTTTGCTCACAATCCATCTTAAAAAACAAACATCTTTTCAAATACACTAAACACTTTCAAAACATGAAATACTTTCAAAAGTCCAACACTTTGTATGCATTCTTATAGAGACGAAAATCATTACAAAGTTCTCCTAAACGAAGGCACTTTTCGAAATTACTTTCAAACAAACCACAAACACATTTTCAAACAAAGCAACTTCAAAAGTGATCTAGCAAGCAACTAAGAGCCCATACATGACTATGGATGAAAAGGGTGTTAACACCTTCCCTTTTCATAACCTACTCCCCAAACTCAAGAAAACATCTCAAATGTCTTTCCTGTTCTTTTCACCCTTTCCTTATTGGATAAAAGAAAAGTCGGTGGCGACTCTTGCTATCCGCAACAATTGCGATCAAACGCAAAACATCCCGAGTCAGTTCTCCCGCCGTATTACAGTGGTCAATTTCAGTATCAGAGCATGGTTCTTCATGTTGTTCAAGCACTACCTATAAATAGTTCACTGGTAACGGATCATTATCCACCTGAATATCATCAACAATATTATCAACATAGACAACAATAAAATACACCGACGACCAGTGGAAGAATGAAGGAAGAAAACAAAGTGATTCACTTAAAATCTAGTCATACCAAACTGTATCAAGGCAGAGTTGAAGTGACCAAACCAAACACTTGGAAATTGTTTCAGCCTATAAAGAGAACGACGAAACCGACAAACAAGTTTAAAATTATATTTTTTTCTTCTGAATAATGTTGTGTCAAATGAGATCCTAGTGAATGTTTATTTATAATCGTATAGGCTGTATACAATTACTTATTAATATAATTAATACAATATCAATACTAATTGAATCCAAATGATGCCAACAGATTCTTAACAAACAGAAATCAATAGAAACAATTCACAACCAATTACAAAGTGACTACTCACAGAAATTGACTTGAGCATTGTTAAAGAATACTAACATGAAAGCAAACATCACAACTTTCAATACCATTTACAATACAAGGAAACATGGAAAAGTTATTACACTTGGTATCTTTCCTTAGTATGATAGCATAGCAATTCCAATCCACATGGCCTTATTCTTATAATGTGTGAGAATCTGAAAACTATCTACAATCTTCCAAAAAACAAAAAATCATTCAATAAGCCAAACACTTTCTGCTGATCAAACAAGGGACAAAACAAACTCTTATGAAATATGTTGAATAGGCAGAACCATGGATAAAGAGAACTCATAACTTCCCTTAACAAAGGTTCTTCAGCTCCTTCTTCCAAAGAAGAGAAGCTTACGAAATCCTTTCGCCGCTTTTGAAGAGTCCTCCTCATCATTAATCCATTTCTTCCTGTTGTGGTTTGATTCTTGCATTGCTTGGTTACTCGGCGGAGGAGTAGAAATTTGTATCTCCGAGACTTTAGGTGGAGTAACATAACTTTCGTCTATTTTCTGATTAACCTTTGAATTCGAAGCAGTATATGTTAATGGTTTGGTAGGTAATGCAGCAGTAGAAGCTGTGATCATGTTATCACCATGAAGTGAAGATAACTTGTCTGACACTTCTTCACCTCTAGACTGATTTCCTCCCAACGGATGATCATGATTTGGCAAAGACGAATTAGTGCGAAGGTGACGCATATTTTCATGCACGATTTCTCTTTCTGAAATCAAAGATCTTGGATATTTCTCCGGTGACGCCTTGGATACCTCTCCAGTGACTTTCAAATCATGATTGTTGTTGTTTTGTTCAACAGCTTGCGCGGCAACAGGTTTGATAGGCAGCACTAGTGAGGCTTTTACTTCATTCTTAGTCTTCGCGTTAGTGTCGGATAGAACTTTCCCTTTTGTTTTGCCCGCGTCTTCTTTAGGATCCGAAGATTTGACTTCTTTTGGGAGCTGTTTCTTCTGCAAAGGTACCTTATTTGCCTTCAAGGAAGGTTTCTTGGCTGGACTTGATTTTGGTTGACTTGGAGAAACCTTCTGCTGAGTTACTCTGGCAGTAGCGAGGCGGTTGATGGTGGAACTCCTAATGACTGGTTTGTTCAATTTCTTAGTCTCTTCATTAGATGGATGAATCTTAGGATTCCCTTTCTTTGTAGAATTCTTAGTTTCTGTTCCAGTCTTCTTCGAGGCACTTCTTTCGGCGATTCTTTTCTGTCGCTGGATCATTAACTCTTCTCTTCTTTTTCTAGTTTCTTCTTCCTATTAATTGAAGTGACAAAAAAGGTTAAAAAATAACATTCTCAACTCTCTTATGTGTTTGCAACTGAAAGCTACAGATAATGTTATGAAAAGAAAAAGTCGAGAATAGACCATTGTTAGTTGTTAGTTTACCTTCTCGGATTTGCTCTTCGTAACCGTAGTTCTGCTTCCCGCCAATGTTCTACTTCTTGACATGATGTCAGATTTGCTTCTCCCAAGAGACGCATTTGGAGCCTTTGACTTTGCATCTTTACTTGAAATTTTCCCATTTTTTGCTCCACTAGTTTTCTTATCCGCGCCTTCATGATTAGGCACACGATTTCTATCGGTTCCAACGTCAGAAGGCTTTTTATTTGCTTCAGATGATGCAATGTTGTTTTCATAATACATTTCCATTCTCCAAGGTGTTGCATTCTGCTCCACGGCTGAATCGCGATCAAGAACCATCAGGTCTGGCTCGCGAGAAGTTAAGGTTTCAGTCTTCTTGTGTGAACCTTCTTGTGTTCCGTTTGTGAATTCAGTAGTGCCGACCATGTCTGAAACCGAACTTATGTTAGCAGCTGATTGAGAATTGAATTTATTTTGCGATGATTGAGCTATAATCATGAAAGAGTCGTCAGCCAAAATGTCTCTCTTGTTTTTGTCTACAGGTAAACTATCTGTAGCTGAAGAAGACGAATAATATCTACCAGATTCTTCGTTTCTCCGAGGAAACAACAAATCCTCTTCATTACTAGTCTTTTTCTGCATAAATGTAGGTTCATCCTTCCCTTCCTTGAAGTATTCAACGCGATTTTGACCCTCATTGTTCAATGCCCTCTGTGTCACAACAAAGGAATCATTTGAAACTACTCGAGTTTTAGCGAAGCCTGCTTCACCGCTAAATTCCTTTGACCTTCCATCCTCAAAATTTTTATTCATCATATACTCTTCTTCAAACTTCATCGGCTGTTTTTCTGTATCACGCGTAGAATCATCATCGTCTATCAAAAGAAGATTTTGGAAAGCATCCCAACTGTTACTGTCTTTTATGCCATTGGAATCAGAAACAGTTGAATCATTTACACTGCCATGGTGTTTCGCGCTATGTTGTTTCTTATGGTGATGCGTGTTTGATTTGTTTCTTTTCTCAAAAGACGCAACAGCTTCCTCTACCTTGTGTTTCAAGGAATCTCCGTTGATAAATTCTTCCTCATTCGATAAACTCTCGTCTGTGACACTTCCCTTTTCACCATCTCCTTTAGAGGTTATATAATTTATATTGCGTATAACTACTTTCCTTGAGGACTTCTTTCCATGCTTCTTTTTGTGCATACGCTCCGTTGACGAGTTCTTTTTGCTTTGCTTTGTATCAACATCTGAATCACTCTCGTAGCTAGACTCGGACGATGTAGTTGATTTGTCTTCTTCAGAGTGCGCCACTACTTGAGATTGTTTGTTTTTCTTCTTCTTTTTCTTGTACGATGTTTTATCATTGTGAGAACGATCCTCGTTTGGAGGCCATTGCATATTCCCCGGAAAATATGAAGGAGGAGGAACCTGCATACCAGGATACACATATCCTCCTTGGTATGGAGGCATTTGTTGGAATGGATGACCTTGAAAATTGTGAATGTACTGCGGATGATGATTCGGCCACGACTTTGGCAGTTGAGCCCTTCCATCGGTTGAGGGAGTTTGACCTGATGCTGGCAAGGTATCATCTGTAAAAATAAATTTTGTTCTAAGATGCTATATAGCACCGACACCTCTGAAAAAAGACGTGTCTCTGACCGTGTCTGTATACGTATATGATATGCACTTAATTAAGTTGTTTTGTCCTACCAGAGCCTTAGTAATAACGGAGGAATACCTTGGCCAATGTCCAAACTGGCATGGCTTGGGGTTGACTCATCTTCACCCGCGAGTACGATTCCAGAAGTTCGTAAGTAAGGCAACACGGGTTGAGCAGACACCTGCATGGCTGCGATCTCATCCATCCAAAGCTTGTCTTCATTCTTTTGTTTGCATAGCTCTAAGAAATTCAAGCATGCTTCCCTATACGAGATACGAAATCATATTAAATAACAAAGTGAACTATTTTAATGGATCAATGTTAGTATTTATCAATATGCTCGAAGACCTTAAACGTGAAGCTCCAAAAGCATCGGCGAAACAAATAAGATCATCCATTGATTCTGGATAATATCCCGCAACTAAAGCACGTGCATACGCCATTGCCTGTTCTTTACAAAGCATAGCTTTACGATTGTCTAGAACACGTTGAAGGCGAACTCTACAATAAATCATCGACGAAACATTATCCTACTATATTGTAGATACTTCCTAAAGAGTACAATGCACATACAAGGAAAACATCAAATACATACCTCGAATTCTCTTCATGTCCATCTTGATTCAAGGAATTTGTCAATCTTTTGGCACGCCCTTCCGCATATGACAGATTTCCTGTCATTCACAGAAAATATTTTGACAAAAGAAAGATTAAGGCACCAATGTCATTATGATTTCTCATCCATACCTTCTGCCTCACTTGATTGAACTGAACCTTCAATCTGCACAATCTCCTTTTCTATGGTCACAAATCTCTCTAGAACTTCTGGAGTGCTTACAAATCTAACAAACCTATATAAAATGAACCAAAACAAATTTAAGTGATTTTGATTTTCCGACGGTGTAAAACTTTTTACATTAACAATGTATGAAAACCACGGTTTTAAATTACAGTCTGCAATCACAATTGCGGCTGCAATATTGCAGATGCAGTAGCCTCCTCAACCACATCGGACCGCAATTGCAGTGTGATTTAAAACTATGCGTCTGACCGCCATCAGAAATCACATCAGACAACTTCACCCATGTTTCTTCAAAATTAATCTAATTTCCACTTTCAACAAAATTAATCAAAAACCAATAATTGTTAAGAAACCAAAAGAGAACCAAAAAAAAGAAAAAACCTTTGCAGTGTGGCTTTGGTGAACCATGGAGCAAAAGTACCAACTGGATGCAGTGTGATGGAATAGCCACCTTTTGAAATCTGATCTTTGGCACATTTAAGGTGAGTAAGAAAAGGTTCCAACAGCCCAGAAGCTAATCTTTCACTCACACCACCAGCAACAATCACCAAGTCACATCTTCAACAAAAAAACACAAAAAGTCAAAACCACAAAACAAAAAATCAAATCTTTTTCTTTTTCCTACAATTGATCTAAAGTTAAGGAAAACAACCTTGTTCTTGTTGGTGTGAGTTGAAAAAGGGCATGATCAAGACAAGAACTTGGATCCATATCTAGATTTACAATGTTGTTGAAACCTCAAGCTTAAAACCTTAAACTAATAAGACCAAACCTTGGATCCTTAAAAGTCCATGTTCATCCCCATGAATTATTATAATGCTTCTTCACATGGTGATGGAATGGAACACATAAAGGTGTAACTTTGTTGAGTTTTGAAAGTGGGTCCAATCCAACAGAACATGTTGTTTAATTGTGTTTCTTTTATGACAGATGTACACATGTTTTTTGGCAATGCAATTGAATCTGATCCAAATGTAAGAGTATGGTTGAGAGGTCCATTCTTGTTAACTTGTGATCCAAGAGAGATGTTTCACTTTCTATATTGGATTAAGTTGTCGGTGTCATTCACAGGTAAAGTGTGAGTGAGGGAGTAAATGAGCAGCAAAGAATAATCACACTTGTTGCTTTCAATGTTACACTTGTCACTACCAACCACACTAGATAAAAATATTCAAATAAATACTCTCTTTGTCAAATTTCTTCTTAGAGTTTTCTTGTTAGATCTATTTTTCATATGTATTTATGGTTTTGGTTTACATGTTTCTAAATTTATGAATTTGATTGTTAATGGGTGTTGATCAATTGGTAACAAGTTCATATCTATGTGCCAGCACAGAAATTTTATGGATAGGTAGAGATTTCTAATCTTGCCGCTAGTTGTGAACAATTGAAGATCAAACATACCAAAAAAATAAAATAATGTATGGGAGAAAGATCAGGAGCAACCACACTAAATAATCTCAAACAAAAATAATATATCAACTAATATGAAAACAAAACTACAATAATAAAAATAAAATTATATGAAAATCAATGCAAATAAAATTGTTTACTTAGTTCAATCCAAATTGATCTATTCTGAAGAAAAGTCATTACTCTGATCTATATTAATCAAGAGTCTTTAACGCATGATTGCAAATAAGTTTAAAAAAATAGATCATCATATTCATAAAAATATCTCTTAATTTCTATCAAATTCGTTGTTCAATCTCTCATCTTTTCAATACATGAATTACACAGATGTTTAAAAATATTTCTCAATTATTAAATATTTCTAAACATTGAATCTTCTCACTTCTAAAGTGTTCAACCTCTACTATTCTAAACAATGTGAGACTATCAACTCACATTTATACACAACAATTTTATTTTTGATTCGAAAAGTTATAAATTTTTGGTCTCAAAACTTATTACTACTAGCATATCAAATCATACTCATTTGAGACAATCACAATTTGAGCATAATTACATTGCTCCTCTTCTCATTGTTAAATTGTAATTCGATTGTGTCGAAACAGTGTATGTGTCGAAGGGAGGTTGTCCAGTCGAAGAACTTGTGGATCGAAGCAAGCTACACACAGATTTGATTGGTTTTAGATTTAGATAAATTTGATTTAGATCTAAAATAGATAGATTTGATTTAGTACCAAAATAGGTATTTTGGGCTTTTATAGTTTTGGACTTTGGCTTAGGGAGCAAGCTAACCTAAATCTATAAATAGAGGGAGTAACCCCTAATTTTATAATCAAGTCAATTCATTGTAATCACATAATTTGCTGTTGCAAGTGATTAATAAAGTTTTACACAAAATATTTGTATTCTTTCTTTTCTTCTCATAATTCATTGTCATTGTGTGGTGATATCAATCTTGTTCATCAAGATTGGTAGAAGTTCATCATAGATATTTAGTGGATTTCTAACATCTGGTATCAAGAGCTCGGTTAATCGATTCAAGAGAAGTATCGATCAAGAACGGTTGAGGAAGAAACAGAATTCACGATGACGAGTTATAGGAATGAAAATTATCCAACAACTCTACCAATTCTGAAAGTAGACAACTATGAGAATTGGTGCAAACAAATGAAAGTTTTATTCAGGTGTCAAGGTCTTTGGGATCTTGTAAATGATGGATTGAAAGCGCTTGGAGAAAATGCTTCAGAAGAATAAAAGAAGAAACACACAGAATCTGAGAAGCTGAGTTATAAAGCACTCTTTATAATTCATCAATGTCTGAGTCCAGAAAATTTTGAAAAAGTGAGTGACTCAGAATCTGCAAAGGAAGCTTGGGAGGTTCTTGAGAAGTATTTTGATGGTGAAGAAAAGGTGAAAGAAGTGAGGTTACAAACTCACAAGAGAACGTATGAATTGCTTCAAGTAGAAGATAGTGAGAGCATATATGATTTCTTCACTAGGGTTACAAAACTAATGAGTCAAATCAAGGTATGTGGAGAAACATTAATAATAAGAGTTGTTGTTTCGAAGATCTTGAGATCTTTGATCCTAAGTTCGACCACATGGTGGTGGCTATACAAGAGGGGAAAGACTTTTCAAAATTGACAAAGGAAGAGCTTCAAGAGACGCTTGAATCTCATGAACAAAGAATGACTGAAAGAGTTGCAGGCAAGTCGAAGAGTGATGTGGCTTTGCAGGCACATTCAACAAAAGAAACCAAAAAAAAAAGAAAGTGGTTTGACAAAGGTAGAGGCGGCTACAACAAATCGACTGGTAGAGGAAACCACAACGAAGGAAACATGTCAAATTAGAGAAGACTATACCAAGGAAACCAAAGAGGTGGTGTTGCAAATAGAGGAGAAGTGGTGGTCGAAAACCTGACAATAGTTATATTCAATATTACAATTGTCATAAGTATGGTCACTATTTGAGTGATTGTCCAGAAAAGCAAAAGAATCAAGAAAGTGATGCAAAGTTTACAAAACATGAAGAAGAAGATGAGATGATGCTGATGGTCACAACAAGAGATGAAGATAAATTCAAAGACCAATGGTACTTGGATTCATGATGCTTATCACATATGTCTGAAAGGAAAGACTGGTTTGTCAACATAAAGCCCTCAATAAAAAATATGGTAAAATTCGCAAATGACAATACCCTAGCAGCTGAAGGTATTGGTGATGTTATGATTATGATGAAAGATGATAAGAGGTCAGTAATTTCCAATGTGTTGTACATATCAGGCATGCAGAACAATTTGCTCAGTATAGGCAGTTGGTCAAAAAGAATTATAAAGTGTCGATCAAAGATAAGATGATGAGAGTCGTCGATGCAAATGGAAGATTAATCTTGAAGGCTCCTATGTCTCAGAATAGAACCTTCAAGATCAAACTAAATGTGATGGAGCACAAGTGCCTTTCGATTGCAGCTAGCAGAGATGAACGAATATAGCATTATCGACTAGGCCATCTCAACTTCAGAGACATCAGAGATTTGAAGAGAAGAAATATGGTTTCAGAATTTCCAGAAATCGACATTCCAAACTAGGTATGTGAGGAATGTGTACAGGAAAAGCATCACAAGAATAGCTTCAACAAGGATGCACGAAGCAGGTCGAAGGTTATTCTTGAATTCATATACTCTGATGTATGTGGACCAATCCAGGTGGATTAGATGGGAGGTAACAAATACTTTGTTACATTCATAGATGATTTCAGTCGAAAATTATGGACTTACCTGATCAAGAAGAAAAGTGAAGTGATTGAGGTATTTGCCAAGTTTAAGTCTATGGTCGAAAGATCAAGTGGTCGAAAAATCAAAGTTTTGAGAACTGATGGTGGTGGAGAGCATGTGTCAAAAGACTTTGATAGGTTATGTGAAAAGGAAGGGATTGTGCATGAGGTGGTGCCACTTTATACTCCACAGCATAACGGAACTGCAGAAAGGAAGAATCGAACCATCATGAATATGGTGAGAAGTATGTAGAAAGGCAAGAATTTACCTAAAGAGTTTTGGGGGTGAAGCTGTATCGACTGCAACATACATTTTGAATAAATGTCCTACAAAGAAGCTAGAAGGTATTACTCCAGAAGAATGTTGGTCTGGTGTGAAGCCTAGCTTGAGTCATCTGAAGGTATTTGGATCTATTGCACATAGACATGTGCCAGATCAGTTGAGAAGAAAACTTGCTGACAAGTCGAGTCAAATGATTCTAGTTGGATATCATTCGATAGGAAGTTACAAGTTATTCGACGAACAAGCAGATTGTGATCAGCAGAGAAGTGATCATAGATGAGCTTAAAGAATGGGAGTGGAATGAAAATGTCAAGAAAAATTCAGTGAGAATCCTACTTGAAGAACCAGAAACTCAAGTCGAAAGAGAAGTTCGACAAGATGAACCAACAGTTATAGATTAACCAAGTACAAGCAGACCTTAAAGAACAAGACGCATTCCTGAAAGATTGCAATATTATGTGATTACATCAGATGATGTGATAGATCATAAAGGTGAGTTGGTACATTATGCTTTCTATGCAGATGTTGAACCTGTCAATACAGTTGAAGCATTGAAGGATTCGAAGCGGGTGAAAGCAATGAATGAAGAAGTGAAGTCTATCGAAGACAACAACACTTGGTCACTTATCGAATTGCCTCAAGGCAAGAAGGCAATTGATGTCAAGTGGGTATATAAAGTGAAAATGAATTCCAAAGGGGAAGTAACTCGACACAAAGCAAGGCTTGTGGCAAAAGGATTTATACAGAAAGAAGGAATAAACTTTGATGAAGCTTTTGTACCTGTTGCTAGGATCGAAACAATCAGGTTGGTTGTTGTTCTAGCAGAAATAAACAGATGGCACATAAGTCAGGTGGACGTCAAGTGTGCATTCCTGAATGGACCTTTAGACGAAGAAGTTTATGTTAAACAACCAGTTGGATTTGCGAAACATGACGAAGAGAGAAAGGTGTACAGGCTGCATAAAACCCTGTACGGATTTAAACAAGCTCCAAGAGCTTGGAATAAGAAAATTGATAGTTTCCTAAGGGAGAAGGAATTTGTGAAGTGCACAAATGAACATGGAGTATATGCAAGAAGAAGCAATAGTGAATTGCTTATACTATGTCTCTATATCGATGATTTGTTGATAACAGGTCGCTGCAAAAGTGAGATTGAAGACTTCAAAGGTGATCTCAGCAAGGAATTCAAAATGTCTGATATGGGTGAGATTTCATATTTCCTTGGCATCGAATTCCACAAGAGA